TTAAATTTTATATTTATATGTATGTATAATAAAATAATTATTGTTATTGTAATAAAGAATATTATTGCAAATTAGTCTATTATACATTACAGAAAAATGTTTCCTGTGTGTATATTCTGTGTTATGCTTTTCTGATCATATATTAACGAATTTAATGGTTAATTAATTTAAAACACTTCAGCATTGCTTAAACTTTTACTTTCATGCACTATTAAATCTGAAAACTAGGGCTATATCATGGTATATATTATTTTTTACACAAATCTGAAAATATAGAGCCAATGAAGTGAAAGATAATTACCATATGATCTACAACTTCCATTTTATTAAAAATTATTGCGTTAATATATGCAATGTACATTATACTAAGTTTTATATTGCACAACCAAAAATTTCATTTCTTTTATGCACTTAACAATTATTATATTCCGTGTAGTATTGTTTTTACAATGCTAATGCGTTTCAAAAATAGAAAGAGTAAAATTGAAATGAAATTTGAATTATAACGAATTTTTCTTATAAATTAAAGGATAGCGCATCGTTGAAGGACATATTATGCTTGATGGTATTGAAAATAGAAAGCATCTTCAGAACACAGAAATAAATATTGATGAAATCTTTTTACGAATATTTACAGTATACAAATATATATACAAGATATTGACGAATATTTACTTTATAAAAAAAGAATAAAATAAGTCACGATAAAATTCTGTGTCGTTACAAAAATTTTGACATTTAATTATTCCATGTCAAGTGATTATGATATACATACATGTATTTTGATACTGATATTTCATATGACAAAATGTATATCCATAATTATCTTACACAATTTTTAAAACATTTAATATTTGTAAATATCAAAGTGGAATAAAAAGCCCATTATATTAAACATTATGAAAATGTTTAATATTTTTATTGAAATATTCTGTCGTTTCACTATATAAATAAACAAGTATTGCAGAATACATAATATAAAACTTAATAGTACTTATCCTTATTTAACTGTCACCTTAAGTTGCTTCTTAAATTTAAAATAGGAGAGTGAAAAAAATAAAAAGTTAAAATTTCTAAGAAATACAAATATTAATAACGTTAACTACAATTAAAACGTTATTTAGCTAGCTTTGCCATATTTATTTGTTTTTTTTTCTTTTTTTAATGTTTACTCAAAAAGCTGAAAATGAATTTAGGAACCAAACTTTGGAATACAAATAACATTAAACGACTTTATAACTATTATTATAAATTTAGTAATTATCAGAACAGAGAGTAGAATTTTAATGTAAACTTTAGAAAAAATTACCTTTAAATTCCACCTTAATATTCATTATAATATATAAGCTTCGTTGCTTTATATAAAACCATGTTCGTTTTATATTTAAAGTTATACTTAAATTATTAATCTAACAAATTTCAACAGTTTTTTAAACGATTCAAGATATGTTCCTTTCATTTTTTTAAATAATTTTAAAACTATTTAAAAATTTACACGATACGTAATCATTTGACATAGAACGGTTTTATTAAAACTTTTATTAAACTTTAATTTTTAATGTCATGCAAAGCTATTAAAATTTATAATTGGATATTTATGTAATGTATTGGTCTTATCTTATGCCTATGCAATAATGTTTTGTACCAAATGAAGTACAAACGACATAATATCAATTTAAAAAGCTTAACTACATTACTGATAACATTGAGTCATCAAAAATGATATATGACAGCATAATTTGATTTACTAAATTCTTATAGATCAAAATTCTAGTAAAAATTAGTATTTATGTAATATATCAAATAATATTGCAAATACGTTGTACACATACATACATTTTCATTACATGTAAAATAAAACAAGTTGATTTAATATAATACTACAAGTTTACTTCATTATTAAGTGAAAGGCAGATGGATACTCTACCATTCTTCCACTGGTATTTGTAATTTTGAAGTTATATTATTAACTTTGCATACAGTTTTATTTTGTTAATCACATAAAACGTGTGCAAATATTGCTATAAAATCGCTCATAAATCTCCGCCTATGTGTGCTCTGAAGTGTTTTCCTGTATTCTATAATTTGATTAATGTTAATTTTTAAACAGTTATCATATTACTCATATTGTGTTACAAACTTTTTGTTGAAAATTAAACTACTAAAAACTAAAATATTATATAGTTAAAGCCAAAAATGATATTCATGGTACATGTTAGTATATTCATCGGTGTATGTGTTATTTAATAAAAGCAACATCTTTTTATTAGCTATAACATAAAAATAATGCTTTAACCTTTTGTTTCGTTTTTAAATTAATTAAAAATATATTGTACAGTTTAGCTCAATATTAGTAAGTATAATAACAAAAATTGTAGTTGAAACTAAAAAATCACACATGGATGGAAATAAGTGAGAAATAAGCAGTTCAAATATTTATAAGTATTGATTAGTAATTGATAACTGATATGCCATGCCTATATTTAATTGGCTAGCTTATATATCACTTTTCAAATTCGAATTACCAAGTTAATAGCCACAGTTTTGGAAAATTTGATAAAATCTATTATACTAAATACTAGTCTTCATAATTAAGATTCAATTTCAAAATCTTACACATTGTAAATGAATATTTACAAAATGCTAGTAACAGCGAAAAGTAATATTCTAAATTAATATTTAGCAATTTGTAATAATAGTCACATGGTTGTGTTCAGAGATTGCATTCTTTCTTTTTTTCTTTGATACATACATACAATCAGACATATAGAAAATTCGTGGTACATTTAAGAAAAATATTTATAAAACATGTTAAAATTAACATGTAATATTTTAACCATAATTAGAGAAATTTATTTGTATAAAAATGTATTTGACATTATTTATATACTTGCTTATTTCATACAAAATTTTAAATAGAATTGTATGACCTGTCCAAAAAAGAACCTTTCACCATAATGTACATATTTCTTAAAATTTAATACCATTAATTCCTTATACTTAACTGAAATTAAAGAAAATATCATTTATTTACAAATTTTCAGTATTAAAATTTATGTTAGGATATGTTAGTCCTGCTATGCAATCCATAAACTCTTGTACAAATGTTGTTAAAATATTAATGTATAGTGGAAAATTTCATTACAAATTGAATATATTGAAAAACTCTACATATTGTCAATAAACTTAATACTCTTCATAGGTTAAAAGAACAATGTTGTATATAATTAAAATTTCTGTAAATTATAAAGTCTGTTACCATT